GAACATTACGAACTTCTTGAAATGATTTAACAGAATGCTGAGAGGACATATTTTCAGATGGTGAATATTGATTGGGATGATTAAGAAGTTGTTCCAAAGTAGGTATGGTGATCTGAAAAAAGATAATTGGTCGAAAAACAGTCCAATGTGTTTTACAGTAGATCAAACCCGATATATATAAAAAATCATAAACAATCGTCAAGTTACTAGTGAATTTGTTATTTTGCCTTAAAGTATGAGTTTGTTACTGTATAATGGTTTGGGTTAATTTCCATCGGTTGTCAGCTAATTGTAAGCATAATGACCATGGCCAGATTAATCGTGAAAACTATACAATCTAAACCTCAATATCAATCAATCTGTAATTGTACCAAACAAATAGGGGCCAGCCACAGGATATGTTAGGAGTTGCTAATACAATGATTATATAGGCTTTTTTAAAACTCTACTCTTGAATTACTCAACCAAGTGTACAATTTAAATCTAGCCCAATAAATCGCATTCTTATCAGAATGGAAGTTTGTGGAGATTGTAGTAGCTTAATGGTGGAATTCATGACTCGATTTAAGCTTATTCTTAAAGTTAAATAGAATAACTCAACAAAAGTGAGCATTTATTCGTCATATCAACTGCTGGTAACTAGGGTAGAGAACAATTAGGTGTATTACAAGTGAGTTGTGAATCACTGTTCGTTCAGTCGAAACTCAAGAGGTGATATTACGCGATTGCCAAGTTGGAAATAGATAGGGGGGGTATTTGAATTCGCAGACATGTGGTTGAAGGTTTAGGTGTTAGAAAAACTAAGCTACTGTTCATAGCTAAACATTTGTATGATACTGAATGCAATATACGGAAATATAATGATTTTGGTAACTAATAGTTTTCGATATCTGTTCGTTAGCCAATGAAACTATTTATAATATCATTTCTCGCACAATTACAGGGAAATAAATTGATTAAAAAGTAGAAGCTGAACCTTAAAGTATATTGGTTTACCAAAACCTAGACAGAAAGAATAAAAAAGAATAGACGATAAATGCGAGAAAGTTTGAAAAAAAAACGTTAAATTCAATTTTTGTGTACTGATTAGGTATAGAGTAGCTAGTTATTAGGAGAAATAATAAAAAGTAAACAAATGTTAGGATAAAAAGTAACTACTAGGTAAAAGCTCCATTATAGACAAGGCACAACCAAATACAATAGCGTTTAAGTATAGTTTAAATAAAAATCGTAAGAGAAAAATGTAACAAAATGAAAAGCAAAAGAGTGGAGAAATATTCCTTATTTAAATACTTAGATAGTAAATTTAAACCCCATCAACAATCAATATACACATCCATTTAGGATTCTTACAACTTCGAATGAAAAACATTCGGATAAATTACATTAGAGAACGAAACTATAGTAAGCAATGATGTTTATTAAACACTATAAAATTCTAAAAACTGTTCAAACTTTTTTTCACATGTAGAAAAAGCTCATATAAACAAAAATACGGAATAGCATTGAGATTCTCTGTATCCCTCTCCCATTATTACAAATTAACATAATATAGAAAATAATAGGAGTTTGTCACACGACCCCCAGGCCGTAAAATATCTTAAATATTATTGGAGTAGGCTCAACACTAAGAAAAATTGTTTTTGTACACATAAATCGGGGTTTGAATTCCCCAACAGCTAAGGCTTCTATAAACCTGAGAAACCGTTCTTTGCAATTCCTATGCGACGTTTAAAAAGCTGTGTTAATGTAAATTCTTTGACAAATTTCAACTGTGTTTTGATACGTTTTGATAATCTTCTAATTCTTACGTTTATTCGGAAGCTATCTAGATACCCTTATTTGTATTATTCGATAATTGCTCCCTATTTACCCACACAAACATGTGGAATGGTAAATGAAGCAGGATGCGATATAATCGTTTGTGAAATGTTCAGGCCTATATGGAATAATGGGGTTAGTTTTTCCAATCATAATCAATTTGCCAGAGTAGTATGTTTAGGTAGACTCAAGAGCGTACATAATATCATGGTATACACGAGGAAGAAGACAATAAACGATTGCTCTTTTTAGGTACCTTTGAGCTGGTGCCATCTTATGTTGGTTATGTCCGATTGGGAGAGAAGTTTATCAATCCAGAAAAACTTGAGCTATAGAGCAAGCTATTTTTATACTTTGTAACTGATACTTAGTTATGCAATGATGTAGTACAATAAATAACTCACTCGATGTACAGACTTCTTATAGTTTTCTTCATCTGCCAATGAATAATGCTCACTGCCACTATGACTTAGAGAGCAATTCCTAACTGCATGATCCGATTCCGTATCAGATTCCACGGGGGAAATCATGGAATTATCGGCTCCATCTCCTTGAACTCTTTTATGGTGAGAGTTTGCCTGAAAAAAATTTCATGAAAAACTAATTTATTTATATTATTTGACATGAACGCAACTAAGCTTCTTATCTTGCACAATCACAGGAACAGTATGTAATCATGGAATTTCTTAAAACAGTGATCTAACTATAAAGGATTGATGTTATGCACTGAATCAGACAGGTCTACTACAGTTGCTTAATTTTAGCCCTAATTGTTGCAGAACAGTGATACTTTACTGTGAATTATAGTAATATATGAGTTGCTTCTATGCTCTCGGTAGTATATGTACTCTACAATCCGACTAATATTCAACTTGTAGCTGCTATTTATCATGATCATTACACTATTCCTCTAGTTTCCCACACCTATTTTTGATAGTACTGTGATGTGTGCTACTTATACGGATAGATATAAGTAGTATGTAGCATGGTTTGAAAATCGAATTCCTACTGGCATAAAAGGAAAACAAGAAAACAAAAACAGAGAGCAATCGGAGTAACAACATGAACGACACAACGATGGAATTTGTAAAGGATAACTCAAGGAAGATATGCAAACGGTATATTTAATGTATTGGTTTCATATTCTGAAGTGTGTAATTTTGGATGGCATAACTAGTTTTCGCTTGTTCACGTTTTCATCCTTTACAATTTGTGTCGCTGTTTCTACGTATAATGAAGATTCTGTAACCATCGAAGTCTAAGGAAGGAGATGTACAGACTTTCCTGAAGAAGTGTGCGGATGTTGCGGGGCCCAAGGTGAATACGGTGGTGCTGGAGACGCTGCCGGGAGGCAGGGCAAAGGCAGTGTATACCAACATAGAGAATGCCGACGGGAAAATGGAGTGAGGGCCGTAACAGAGCGGTTGGTTACAGATGTTGACAGTCCAGCGGACTGGCAGGAGGCGTTGGAGCAGGAGTCTAGACCGGCAAAGTTGATGATGGATGGTGACCTACTAGTGTTGGCAGTGGAGTGATCCTAGCAGCGCACGACGCGAAAACCTAGTTTAGTGATATTATAGACCGCTTTAAACTGAAGACCATGGAACGGTATCTCAACTTACAAGTAACTAGTTCAAAGTCGAGTGTTCTGATTAAAAGCCACTGCTTCGAAACAATACAGTAATAAATAGATATGATAATGCCACAAAACTGACCAATTTCCTGCTCTTTTCAAACAGTTCAATGTGTTGAACATAGAAGTTTTGACAATGACAGAGGAATTAGAGTGAGTAAAGTTTGTCAAACGAGTAGATATTCAGAAACAAAAAGTCGAAGACAAAGATAAGCGCATTTATAATCTTATCTTAATTTAGATTCTGAGAACAAATGCGTTTATTTATCACCTATGCAAACCGTATTTATTGGTGTGGAGAGATTCATCTGAATTATCTAATCTATTCGTCATTGTTCAAACATGTAGTTTACTTGAGACTGTCTAAAGGTTTATTTCATAAGTCGTTTTTTATTCTCGTACCGTAACATGGATGATGGAATGAATGTAACAACCAGATAGGGTGTCGTTATTATATACAGAAGTTTCCAAATATATCTTACTTTTTTCAAAGATATGAGGCTTTAAAATAGCGAAGCACTAGTAGAATACATTATGTAAACATTGTGATTATGAATCTGCTTTAGTTCTTTTAAAGATGGCTGTTGACGAAATTAAGTCATAGACACAAGACTCCTAATTAGTATTCTACCAAACAACATATTCCCCTATATTCCAAAACTTATGAAAAATGGATATTGTAAGATATACTATTGATTTATTTCTGTTTTGCACCTTGTGTTGATATACTTCTATTCTCTTAATGTAATGAAAGAGAGCACAATTTGAGACGATCGAAAGCATTCAAATACAAAATTACGGAACGTCTTAGTAAAATCTGAGAACCATATAGTGAATACTTCAATCGCAAAATGTCAATCAACCGTCTCAGACTTAACTGTTCTTTCATTTCCACACCAATCATCCTCTTTTCTTCGATCTTCTTAACCTTCTGCCGCCAGCCATTCCACTTTCGATTGATGATACATTAGTAGCACACACCACATTGGTATAAGTAGCATGAAAATTTTGAATACTTAAAATAACATTAAACTGCTTTTTAACTCTCAGTAACAAAGACAGACAAAGCTATATGTCAATGAGCTGCCACAAACTAGCACGAAAAAGATAATTGATATAAATAGCAAGAATAAACGATGGATCAAAGAAGTATGTATGAAATCAACATCAATCAGTTACATTAAAGTTGTCGAAACAGAAAATACACCAACAATGATGTATATTCTTGACAGAGGTGTACTATGAACTGAGATTACTAGTGAAAAACTATTTACTATATTTAATGTCGTTATAATGTTTGTCACTAAATAGTACTGGAGGACCAAAACACTTACGCTTAAAGGATTCAAATTATCAGGTATTGAGAAATTCCGTCGATGACCATAGGCCTGTTCGTACCTGTACGAGTTTTGAGTGGGTGAATGGTTTGTGTGAATGATACTGGCTAATTTTGTCTCCCATAATTCTCTTTCTTGACTAAAATAAAAAAAACAACAATGAAGCTGTTTAATTGATGGTGGAATTGCCAGACGATTTTCCTCTTTTTGTATGTTTGGTTTCAAGTCAATTGCATATATTATGCATCTATGCTAGGCTTCTTCGACACTACGGCGTACCTGAGAAGATAGTTAACATTATACGGAATTCTTATGATGGATTAAACTGCAAAATCGTGCATGGAGGACAGCTCATATACTCGTTCGAAGTAAAAACCGGTGTCAGGCAAGGTTGCTTACTCTCACCATTTCTCTTTCTCCTGGTGACCGACGGGATCATGATGACGTCAACATCTGGGGAAAAGCATGGGATAGCTAGGATGCAGCTGGACGATCTAGGAGAAGACGACCAGTGTAGCAGCAGCCTCAGCAGCCTCAGCAGCAGTAGGTCTCAACACACACAAAGCAAGATTCTCCGATACAACACAGCGTTTACCAATCGAATCACACTTGACGGAGATGCTATGGAAGATGTAAAAACGTTTACATCATTGATGAACACAGTGGTAGGGATATAGCTTGTACCCTATTATTCAAATTCAATATTGAATAAGGGGAACAACTAAACGTACAAGAGACTAAAGTAAGTCAAAGTGAACAAGGATTTTTTGAAGTGAGAACTCATAATGTAATATGAAATGAAGCTTACCAAATTTACATTAGATAAACATAGTAAAAAATTTCTCACCGCAATTCACTTTCATATTTTTGAGTTTGCAGCATAAGTCGTTCTTCATAATGACGTAGTTGACTAGTATACTTTTGTTCTAGTTCTTTAAATTCAGCAGAAAGACGATTTTCACATTGTTGAGTTATTGACATTAGTTGGTCCTCTAAGGATTGCTTTTGTTTTTGAGATTGGCATAACAGTTCAGTGTGTCTGTGAAAAAAAATACATAGTTCATACATTGTTCATAAGTAACTCGACCGTAGTACGGTTTTGAGCCATAAATTTATGAATAAGTAAACTTTATTTTGTTTACTCAGTTTCTAATTCGTACTTCGTCATTTCTCAATCTATCTTGGTGATAAACCTGACAAACGGACTACTGATAAATGTATTCACTGAATTTCCTCTGTACCTTGATATATACTTAAAGCTCTATAGAAGTACTTACTTTCAGAAATTCTCAAATGAACTTCTGGAAATATCTGATTTTGGATGAGTGATTATCTTCCTTGATATAAAATAAATTATAAAATCAGTATTAGGTTGTAGAGATTGTTAGCTTTCTACTGAGATCATGAATCGATCAATGTTATAAAAGTAGAGAAAAACAGCTGTCCAGTGCTTCGTGATTTTCGATGGATTTAGAACTTAGGTTGGTTTGTGATATCAACAAGAAAACCTAGTAATTTACAAATATTTAAAATCAAATAGTGCTGGAAAATAAAACAATAAAAGGTCAAGAGATAGAGTTATGTCATTTATACTGATCGATCACTGAGTAATGACCAGTGTCGTGTTTTTAATCCTTGGTGCTGATTGAACTCATTCAATCAAATGCAATATGATTACTGGTTTAATTGACTTGATATCATAAGTGCTATCGTCAGATATGAGACAGATGAATCCCCTTTTCATTTTTCCATAGATCTTGAGTTCCATACATACCTTCTTTTCGGATCATATTTTGAATATTTAATTCTTCTCACTATCTTTTATAATATAACTATTTCAACTCCTTTGTTATTGATCTTTTTAATTTGGTCTCATTGGACGAACTTAATTAGGTCAATATACATTTGCACTAGGTTATACGTTAATAATGGCTGACTGACTACTGATACCTGGGTGTTAAGTGATTCGAGGTAATCGGCAAGAATCCCTATACCTTAGTTTTTAGTTGGCAGTCATCAGCAAGACGTGTCTACAACCTTTAGTGAATTGATACTCATTGTACGATTTGAACCCGTATTACTTAGTTTCACTGTGACAGACGTTACTAATGATATTTGGGTCGCAATTGGCCTAATATAGAATCGTGATATTTACACCGACTGATTACTGAGTTTAAACGAATGTGATGTTTACTTAGTTCTTGATGCAGATCGAATACCATCGATTAATTGGTGTATATTTGTTTAGTACGTATTTGGAAATAATAAAAATGTATTTACCTTGTTTTCACTTCAATCAATTCTTTCTTTAACAAATCACATTCTGATTGTGCTAAGGACGCATGCAATTCAGCCTCTTTCATACGATTTTGTACGTCAAAAAGATTGTGTTTCATAGATTCTAATTCATTTGAATAATAAAATGATCTGCTTTCGAAATCAGATTGGTTAGTATTCACCCCTTCACAATTAGGACTATTATTAGTATCCGTTGTGTTCACCTGATTGGTTAGAGTGCGTACGTTACATAGAGCAAGTTGAGCCTTAGATTAAAAAAAGTTTGAAGTGAAAAAAATCTTTCAAATAATACGATCGATTAAATAAATTAACACAACTTCAGTATATATATATATATAATCTACAAAACCTTAATTTTCCGACACATCGACAAATAGTATTTCAATATTTAAAGAGTTAATAATGAAAATTAGCCCAATCTAATGTGAAGAAATTAAAAATGAATGACTTTTATTGGGTTGAAAATACATTCCAACTTCATTTGTAGTAAATTACAGATATTTTACCATAAAAAAGGATCCTATTATCGGCCATATAGTTTCCCAATAAAAGAGCTGTCCAGTAACGTCATTCACCTTTCTTTGTACCCACCTATTACTAGCTCACTTAGTGGACATAAGAGAGATGTAACAAACGCTCACAGTTTACTATCATGCATAGATTATCAGTCAAGCTTATAAAGTTTGTGAGTCTCCAATTAGTGGGTATAACAGTGTTAATGGAATATAGATTGGATTAAAAGATGTCCCGTGATGAATTGTATCGGAGTACGCTGATTGGCCATTTATAAGCCAGTGGACAAATGAAAACTCTAGAATCTTCCCGTGTAAAATTATGAGTATATTAGGGTTTTTCTTACTATGATTCTTACTCATATTCAACCTTATTTGATTGGAATATAATTACCTGCCTGTTTAACCGTGTTCTGATTTTGAGTGAAATAGTGTCCGAAAAATATTAAGCGATAAGAGTGGCTGGGTCTTAATAAGAGAGTTCACAACAAACGGAGACAATAATAATCACCGAACACAATCTTTCTTTTATATATTACTACTTTTGAAGTGATTACTTCTATAAATTTGGTGTTCATCTTGTTGTGCTATGAGGTGTGGTAACTTGGACCGATGAGTATATATGCCTGGTCCTATGTTGTAGCTGACCGACTAAAACATACAAGAACCATTTATTTGATTTCCTCCCACTAGTGAATCATAATTCGCTGTCTGTCATGTTGGACAAGTGTAAATATTATCATGTGTGACTATGAGTTCTAGTCCTTTCGTTATTAGTATGAGGTTAATATGACGTAAAACGTTTGTTTGATTATGAACTGAGATGCAAGTACATTCACCTCAAAATTTTGAAATGTAAGGAAATCATCAAGGAGTTAATCAATCTAGTCCGATAAGTGGTAAGTTACAAGGTAAAACAAAGTTTCAGAGTGGTAGATAAGTGAGAGGAATCACTTATGATACAGTCATGCACGGAGGATTGACATTTCTCCCTCTTCTAAGCAAAATCATCATATTCAACTTATCAATCACTAAATCATATTTATATACCAAATACTAGAGTTACGAAGAGTTTTTTAAAATTACTAGGATTATTATTTACCTTAACTTTGTATGCATTATATTCGTTTTGTAACTTTTGAAGTCGATCCAGTGCTAAACATTTATCATTTTGGAGATTTTCGCATAAGACATGTTGTTGAGTTAATTCACTACGCAATTGTGTCAGATTACACACCAAATTTTCTTTCTCCTTTTCAGTATTAGATAATTTTTCAGTCAGACGATTCAATTCTTGATTATTTTCAACATTTACAGATTGACTTTTTTGAAATTCTGAAAGTTTCTTCTGTTGTTCAGTTGCATCTAATTTAACTTTAACTAAAAGATTTTTCATACGATGTAGTTTTTCATCAGAATTTTTTAGTTGACTTTTTAGATCTGAAATCAGATTCTCAGAGATTAGAATCTTTTCATTCGCATTAATTAATTCAGATTCTGTACTTTTCAGTTTATCCAAGAGCAGTTTTTCTTGTTCAATATTTATTTCATTATAGTCAGTCAGAATGCATGCATTGGACGACGTAATACACTTATTATTGAATGTGTAATAGTGTTTAATAATTTGTTTTAATTCAGCAAGGAAATCGCTTAAACTCTTTGCAACTTTACTAACAGTATCATCTTGAAAATTATCACAAACAAAATAATCCACATTCAAATTACATTGTTTATTGTTGCTTACTTCTTGATGGTATTTAATCAATGGTAATAAAAAAGAATCATATAATAAACTTTTCAACTTAACAAATGATTGTGTCATATCCAATGAACTATCATTATATTTTGTTTGTAATTGTAATAATTTAGCATTATACACTTCATTTATATGAGTAACTGAAGTAAGCTTATTTGATAGTTGATTAAATGAAGATTCAGCATATTCAACACTATGTTTTAACTCATTTACTCTTTGCTCTAAAATATGTAATTCTTCATCACACACTTCATCTGAATGAACATGTTTTAATTCATTTGAAAGTTTGTTATGGCGAGAATTTTTTTCTTCTTTTTGCTTAGTAAAAGACTGTTTTAATGAGTAAGAATATTGATTTAAATCTGTTGGTAGAGTTCGACAAAAATTTTCAAGCTTTATTATTTCACTTTTTGATGATGAATGATGAAAAGGTATATGATAATTATCAGTTGAACAGAGATCGATCTCTTCTAATAATCTGTTACATTCAGTAAATACCAATTTTAATTCATCTTTTGATAGATTACTTCTATTGTTGAGCTTTAATGACTGTAATGCAGTGTTGAACTGTTGTAACAGTGGCGAATCCTTACCATCAAAATGATTTAAGTTGTCTACTTGTGTTTCAGCGCATAGACAGTTAACAGGAACTATAGTTGTTTCACTTAAACAGGGTACATGTAGATGTTTGTCAGGACTCTGCAATGAATCCTTAGAGGATGTCTCACAAGAAGAAGAGGCTGAAATTGTACAAACAGGAATTTTAGTTACATATTCAGTCGTCTTATCATCAATACCGTTGGTTGACACACGGAAATTCCTTTTATGTTCATTAAATACAGCGTTTTCTACCGATGTACTTACAAGCTCTGATGATAGTGCCTCATTCATGCAAATGGATTCATTTGAAAATTCAGAAGTACAACACGATTTATCAAATTTTTCAACGGTTCCACTACTTTCTTGATGAGTCCTGGTATGCAGTGACTTCAGATATTCCAATTCTGATTTGATTTTTGTGTTAACTTTTCTCTCTTTTACCACAAGAGCTTTCAACTTGGTCACTTTCTCCTGCTCTGCATCAAGCAATGCTTTTAGGTCATCCATTTGGTTAGCTGATCTGGAAAACAACAAAATAGAGCAGATACACAAAGACAATGAATCTTCATATAAAAAGTATTTATGTTGAACCTACTGCAGTAAAATAAAGGGAAATTTACCCAAGCTTAGTATGTTTTAGTCATAACAAAAAACTGGATGAAAACTGACCATTTAACAGGCAACACAGTTTAAACATGTGATCTATCGCTGGTTGTGTGCATAAGTGATTGGATAAACCATAACTCGTCTAGAATTAACAGGGTCAACAGTCAAGTGTTCACATCAGCCTATATTCGACAACATAATCTGAACTACTAAAATTTAACTACATTTTTCATTTATATGACAGTACTGTGAACTGATTAATGAAAAAGCGATGGTTATCAGCACAAGTTGTATGACAATCAACGAGCATAAACTAATACTATTGTAGTTACGGGTGACCCAAAATCTAAAAACGGAGTTGTGAAAAAGAGCGCGAAGGGTGTCAACAGCCAGAAGAAATTTGGTTATACAAGTTTTTTCCACACACAAATCAACATATGCTACTAGTCCAACTTTCATTAGAACCCTAATAGTCACACTTGTAACGTTTTATTAGAAAAGGAGAAAATATCCGTGTTCACTAAGGTTAGACATATAAATAAAAGGTTGGGGGAAATTCCCCAGTAGATAACACTCAACAAGTACATTTATGTTGTACAAACGAATGAAAGGATGAATTGGAATGATGGGAATAATTCGGGTACCTTACATGAGACAAACGGGAAACCATATTCAAATGAATGAAACAAAAAGATGAAGGCGAGAAAAACGTGTAGAAGATAAGGTTCTATTAACTGATTTTAAGGAATCGATAAAGATGAATTCGAATAGTGTAAATACGAACTTCAAAAATGTATAATATGTTAGCCCGAACATAATGAAATCTAGGAATAAAAAACTGAGATCCGGTCAAAGGCCATATCCAAGACATTTGGATGTCCAGTATATTCTACTAAATACGCATTAGAGTACATATTGTAAGTGATTATGTTCAGTGAGTTAATGTCAGGTATTGCTGAGGACAGAAATTTAATAAAAACGAACCAGTGGTTAGAGACCTTGTATGAAATGGTTCAAAATCGTTCTCAAGAACCAAATGAATCCATTGTTTGTCTTCCCCCAGATTACGAGCTTTCAAATTGCTCATAAACTTCTTGCTTTTATCTCACTAATTTATATCTTCTTGAATCATATCTTAGATGCCTGATCTTTTCTATTACCATGCATGCTGATACTAGCGCTATTATCCTGAGATTAGGACTGACAATCTCATTCCTCTGTGATCATGGAGTAAGGCAACTTGAACTGATTTACAAATGTACGAGGGTTTACGTTGCGACTGACTGAGATTTCGTGACCTGGTGATATTAATGGGTGAGCTAAAACCATCCATTTTAGCTTTGACCGAAACTTGGTTAGTATATGACTATAAAATAACTTCAAAACCATTAGGTTACACCTACCTAATAAGTGATAGGAACAGATGTTCCAACCGAGGTGGTGTGTTACCATACACTAAGGATAGTTTGGATATACACTTCTTTGTTTGTGAGTCTCATGAAGGCGGAAATTATAAAGTCACTAGTTGTGGAATTACTTTTAAAACTGTACATTTATTATCGACATATCAATGCATTCACTACCCATTACCAGTGAATTTTCCTGCGGTGGGATTCGATTTCTTTCTCAAGTTCATCTCTTGATATAGAAGAACAACGTTTTGGGACTTCTCTGGGAATCTTGGATCTATTGTTTCCCTAATTTCGCCAATGCTTGTATGTATTCTTAGTCTTACAGCAACTAGATATGAACTGTTTGAGCCACTGGAGATGAAGAGGTCCCAAAATCTTCCTACAACTGAGATGTTTCATGATATCGTTCCTTCTCCATGATGGACAGTTGGTCGGTCAACTTAGGATTATGTGTGATATAAAGAGGAATGATACGGAGCTAAATGTACTTTTAGACTAAAATAATGCTTCCTCAAAGGCAGAATTAGTATTAAGTGACCAGTCCATTAATAAAGTATACTCCTTCATGGATATGTTTAATCGCCACACATTCGGGCGAGGTTTAAATCGGTCATGAACTACATCAACGACTCCGAGCCTGGGTAGTAGCATAAACAAAATAAGACAGAGACAATCGATGACAGTATTTCAAAAACCACCGATAAAGTGATTTATGCTAAGGCTCAATTAACAAAGTCCTAACTCGCCGTGGCTTTCATTGTACAACATACACTATTTCGTACATATACCAGGCACTAATTTACCAGGCAAGTTACAAGTTAGGGGCGGCCAAACCAAAACGTGGCATCAGTCCATAAAGTGACTAACTTCTGGTCTGAGCCATGTTGGTACATGCAGACTACTTGGTTGGGGTTCGCGTGACTATCGTAACCAATGGTGACATGGCTCAGAATTGATCACAATGGCGTAGCTATATACACCCTCTATCTTCCCTTAATCTATGAGATTAAAACCGCTTCATATCTTGCTTCCTAAGGACTAATTCTTTCTTCCTGTACTATATCCTTACATAAAACCTTTCCTTTATTTGTTACACCAGTGAGTTAATTGCTTCTATGAATCCAGTGTTCGTCTTGTCGGTATGTCAACTGACTGAACGAGTCCATACTAGTACCGTGAATATTAGTTGGTAGTCATATAAGCCTTGGTTAAAACTTAATAAGATCAACTATTGTATTGGCATTTACTTACTATCTAATTTTCGAACTGACATCCAGAACTTATCATTCGTCATTCTGTGAAGATCTACTAGCTGGAATATACTGTACAATACCACCCCACCTATAACTGCAATTATAGGTGTTCTAGAATACCCAACCTAGAGCTTGACGCTCCTGAAACCATTCATGTTCATCAAGTGATTGTCAAATGGGACTGTCAGAATTCATGGCATTGCATATTAAAACCATTCTCAATAGTTTATGTTTCACTAGTATTAACATACCTTACTACGATTAATGCATAGAGATCTCACAATTAAGCAAACTATGCTAGGATTAACAAATCAACGACTAATCAGATTTTATCTTTTCGCAAGACATTATTTGTCTCTTCACCTAATCCATTAGCATAGTGTGTGTGCAACTATAGTTTAAAATATGCCAAAAGAATACACAATACGGATTGACTTTTTAATGTACATCAATGACATTATAACCAACATGACTTATTGATGAAGTGATTGATTTACCAATAAAGTATTACTACTACAGGCAATAAAAACATATAAGGAACATATGCACGAAGGCTATAAGAGAAGACAGGCTTCAGTATCAGATAAAGCTTATGGATAAATTTGTCTCCAATCCGAAAGGCTTATTCCATTATACAGCCTCTCTTCGTCAAACCAAAACTGGAGTTTCGCAACTTCTAAGTCTCAATGGCCCGACCAATAACAACGACGAGGCCGCTAACCTTTTGGCTGAACAATACTCTCGGAAATTTCAACCGACCCACATTAACTATAGTGATGACAGCTTCATCTACAACTGCACAGGAATTTCCGTAGTGAACCTGAGCGCTGACTTAGTGTTTCGGAAACTGCAGCATCCAAGAAAAGTCACTTCTCATGGCCCAGATATAGTTCACTCTGCTATACTGAGGGAAGCAGTTCCAATCCTGTCAACACCTCTTAACGTGATGTTCGCACACTCGCTAAGCTGAAGCAAACTACCGGAAATTTGGAAGCTGGCTCAAACCATACCAATTTTCAAAGGAGGTCAATGCAGAGAAACTTCAAGCTATCGACCGTCGGCTCTTCTCTCTTTACCTTCAAAAATTATGGGTCCGTGATGTGCGACGGTATACATGACTTTACTGTCCTTAAATTTCTTCTCACCTCAATATCATGGTCTCAGGAAGGGCTACTCTTGTATAACTAAACTACTGACTGAGGTGGACAGATGGACAAGCATCCTTGATCGCATGGGGAAGTTCGATATCATTTAACTTGATTTCTCAAAATCTTTTGATAGTCTTGACCAAATATGTCTTATCAATAAGCCCAAACGATTGGGTATCATACCACCTCTAATTGATTGGCTCACTTCATATCTGAAAAATCGACATTTTAAGGTCAGTGTCAACTTCACTTTCTCTCAGGCTATAGAATGTCCTAGCGAGGTCCGCCAGGACTCAATACTAGGAGCTCTTCTCTTCTTGATTTATATAAGTTATCTTCCACAACAGGTACAGCCAGACATTACTTTTTGCTGATTGGAGGCGCTCTTCATAAGGTCTGAATTTGAGTCCTCGAACTGATTTTGTGGCTAGCCGTTGATTGGTACGGCCCAGAACCTCGCGACACGCCGAAGTTAGTGATTCATAAATCCATTTCCAGCTGTTCTTCATAGTGACTTCCTCTTCTATAGGTACATCTTGTAAAACTTGGAACCTGTTAGTGTGAGTTATCTTGAATTCGATTAGTTTTGTTAGTATCTCAAAGGAAAGCTATACTAAACCTTTTGGATGCTGTTTCTCCAGTTGTCCAGTGCTTCTTTAGTTCAGTTTCATCTTGACCATAGTCAGGTGATAACTTGAAGCTGCGTCAGCCGCCTCCCCTGGTTCTCACGTCTTCCACTGACTTGAATTTTTACTGTTGCAAATATGATATACCTGGTTCTCTGTGGTGTTATCCAGTGAGGTCAATGCAGCTCTGTGTATGCGTTTGTCAGGAAATATTGTGCCATCTATAACCATTTTGTTGAATGCACATAAGCATAAACAGGTAGAGGAACGTACTGCGCTCGCTGCTGAATCTAAAGCCCAACCCCTATATCGTCTCCTCACGAAACGCATAGGGAAGAGCGCAGACCACAACATTCACTCCTTACTGCACGATGGAGTGACGTATAATGACCAAACCATCATATGTGAACTATTAAGTAAATGGTTTTCCCACAATGGGAATACATCTCATGCTCCAGATATCGACATTAAATGCATCGGTAAAAGCTATCTTAGTACCATGAACTTCGACATTAGGGGCATACATACCGCCATTAAAACCCTTAAGCCAAATGCGAGTTCTGGTGCCGATGACATCCCTTCAGTCGTTTATAAAATGTCAAGACCGGACATACAGACGCCACTACTGAAAATATACACATTCGCGGGTTGCATAAATGCGGTGGAAGTGCGTTATGAGTGACTTTGTGTTCGTCCTTCGGAGGTTGATATCAATTTCGTATTCCAATCGAAAAGGGATAACTATCTAACAGCAAATGCCAAAGAAAAAAGTCAAAGAGAATAAAGTTCTGGTCGATCAGTCAGATCCTTTGGAGTTGGCGAGTGTTGTTAGCCTTCCTAGTGACGGCAGTGAGACTCCAACAGCCTCATCCATTGATGTTGAAGATGGATTGGCCTTGGAATCGCTTCTTGATAAAGTTTGCTCAGCAATCGATCTAATGGAAGAGAAGAGAACGGAGACTCGAATTAACGCAATACGTTCATTAATTGAGTTTTTTCGTTCACACTATTTCTGTTTGGATGGCTCTTGGAACTACACTGAAACTCTGATAACCAGCATTGAAAATATTTTCAAAAAGAGTAAACCACAGGATCAGGCACTAGCTGCAGATTTACTGACCATATTCTCTCTACAAATTGATCCACATGAAATTGATCTTTAGAGACAGGTACATATCCGAAAACCTGGAAGGTAACGTATGTTCTTCCCAAACACAAATCCGGACCGAGAAACCTGGTTGAAAACTACAGACCTATAAATATCACTCCAGCCATATCACGCATAATGGAAAAAGTGATACAAAATCAACTATCTGATCACCTACTCAAGGAAGATCTAATAGACCCGTCACAACACGGCTTCATTAGAACAAGGTCGTGCAGTACATGCCTGATAGACTTCTTTAACGAGGTTACTTGTATACGTGACCAGAAGAAACTAGTTATTATACTATACTTCGATATTAAGAAAGCCTTTGATAAAGTACCTCATAATCTTTTAATCAACAGACGTAAGTCAGTTGGAATTATAAATCCCCTTTTGCAATGGATCAAGTCTTTTCTTACGAACAGATATCAAATAACCAAGATTAACTCTAATACATCTACACCTCGACCAATAAACAGTGGTGTTGTGCAGAGTAGTGTCTTTGGTCCATTGCTCTTTATTATTATTATTATTATTGTTATTATAATTATTATTCACAAACATCTTATGGGTACATAAGTGTTGTGAAGAAACCATTTCGGGTTTCTTCAAAAAAATGCAATAATACACAATTTTCAATAATGTCAGCATTCTACTTGCCATTTAAAAAAAATTTGAGCAATAATAGTAGAATATTAATAATAATAAATCGGGTCTGTGCAATTGAGAATATTGAATTGAGTCTAAAGAAGGAAATGCAGAAAATAAGGAGACGTGAAATACGCAAACAGTCTAATAGGCGTGTTTACGAACACAGAACAAGAATAAACGACTGTGTGTATCGTTAAATTAGTAACAAAAAATAATTAAGAAAAAATAACTTATAATTGCAGTAAGATATGACGCTAGAATAAATGTTTGTGCAGTTATAGTTTAGAGTGATGCTATGAAAGTTACAATTAAATGAAAAGGATAATAAAATATCAATATGTATGAGTCATATATGCATAGTGAAGATAAAACGGGTCTGAGAATTTAATTTAAGTGTAACACAAGTTATTGTTTTAATTACAAACTTCGTAATCTTAAGAATAATATTTATTTAGAGGGAAAGAAGAGTGAAAAGAAGTGAACACCTAGTGAAAAGTTTTGATCCATGATAAGAATAATAATAATAAATATCAACCTCAGAAGGAAACCAGCAATTGCAAAAATAAAATAAAAATCCGTTAAAGCACTCGGATGAATACATTTAGATTTATGTAATAGTATACAGAGTGAAACCGGATATTAGTATAAATATTTGTGCAATAATAATTAAGATTGATGCTATGAAAGTCAAAATTGATTTTAAAGGACAATCTGGAGTTAAATATGTTTAGAAGGATAAGAAGATACAAAAAGAATATCTAATGTGTCAGGGAACTAATAATGATATTAATAACGGAAATAATGATAAACACGAACATAATCAGATTTCATATATTAAGATAAATAGAAATAAAATAAAATAGATGTGGAAAGATTTAAAGGTTTTATTTTGCTTTTCAAGCAATTAAATGGATGACGGACCTTGTTTGTATAAATCATTATTGAATACATTGATATTCAATAGGTGACATAATCCACTTTCGGAAAGAAAATCGTCAAGGAGACTTTTGAACCGGGTTGTAGTTTCACTGCAACGGAGGTTCACTGGCAGTCTGTTCCACATGGTTGAGTAGCGAATAAGGAAAAAATTCTGACGTAAGTTTGTGTGGGTTCTTGGAATCGCTAGAATATTCTCCTTATTGCGTAGATTGTGGGATGATATCATAAGGTATGAAGGGGTGGATACCGAAGAGTAGGAAATACCGTTAATAAGCCGGTAGATAAAGACAAGATTTAATTTGATACGTCTGATCCAAAGAGGCTCTAAGTTGAGTTGTTGACATCTTTGGTAATAGTCTTTGTTATCGGAATACCCCAGAACAGCTTTGGTGAACTTCTTTGAACACCTTCAATTCTAATCAGGTCAGTATGTCTACAATTACTGTAAACTAAAATACCATATTCAAGAATGGGTAAGATACATTTTCTGTATAGTAACAATCTCGATTCGATATTATTGAAGTTTATCATTATCAATCCGATCAGCTTTCTAGCTTTGGATACTTGAGATATAATGTGTTCAGAAAAGTTCAGACTGTTGCTATATCTTAAACCCAGGTCACGAACAGTGTTAAGAGGTTTGAGTGTATGTGTCTGTACAGTCAGATTTAAGTTAAGACAGCGACCAATGTGAATAAATCCACTTTTGTCAACATTAAGTGGCATATTCCACGAAATAGTCCATTCGTACAACTTGTTTATTTCCTCTTGGATTACCGCTGAAATATAGCTTTCTTTCGTGGGAGAAGAGAATGAATAAACTACTTTCAGGTCATCAGCAAAAAGAAAAGGCTTACCATACTGAAAGAGGGAACACACATCATTGATAAAAAGGAGAAAGAGTAATGGACCAACCACAC